TACCCAACGTGTGGTTTGCATATCATGCCACACCAAATAGGACGACACGCTATACAAACAAACATTCACAAATAAACATTTCAACTATGAATAAACCGTGATCTTGAAACACTGTGAACACGAGTTACAATAGAGCCCGTATTCGCTCGACGTCCCTCACGAAGAATCGCAAATCGCCAGACGTGGTTTCAGAAGTCCTTATCCATTCCGTTTCCAAGAAAGTTTCTGGGTGCTAAATGGCCCATGTGTTCTTATTTACTAAATGGAAAGGAAATGGATTTATGCTGCGCTAAAGCCCACCTTCAACTGATGCTGAGGTAGACCGCAGGATGGATTCACGCTTTAAAGGTTTGCCAGACCCACAATCTTGCCTGAGGAAGAGAGCCGACCTGTGGATGTGGTTGGACGCGGCAACCCAAAAAGCTGAACCGACGAGTGGGTCATTTGGCTTTGCGAATTGACCGCTCAACAGGCGTTGACCTCGTTAGGGGCATTCTTCCCCAGAAGGAGCAAACGGTAAACTCAGAGGATGCAGTCAGCACGCAGCAACAAGAACTGAGTGGACAGGACAACACATTTTATGGAGATCACCCAACTCGACGTTGCTAGGGGGGAAGAGGCATCCAAGAGTAGAGTTGGAGGGCCAAGGTTATGATTAGGCCGCTTATCACCACGCTGCTTCAAACAGTGCAAGTCAAATCTAAACAGCACCAAGAAACAGGTGAATGGGAAGCCTGGCCGAACCTTGAGCTCATGTTTTGTCGATTTGTTCAATCAGCCATGGGCTTACGACTAGTTTGATGGAATTATGCAGGTGGTGACCCTCAGTAAGTGTGTGGTTGACCCGAGGAAGTTGGTCACGTTTAGGCCGAGCAGCTCGAAGACCCCTTGTTTAAATATGTTCCGAAGGGGGTAACAAAAAGGTTCCTGCCAGCTGCTTCCATGTTTCTTGGGCGAAGGGCCAATGGGCATTGCTGGCTGAGGTGACACCCCTCTTTGGTTCCTTTCTTTTTTGGCCCAGGTCCACCGTGGGAGTGATGTGCGCCGCGCCAGAGGTGGCAAATGACAAGCAGGTCCTCAACGCCGGGTAACTCCCACGAAGCCTTTGGCGGACTCGTGTAGAAAGGGAACATACCCAAGAAGCGCCAACTGTTTGCTTTGCTGGTGATGCTTTGTGCGCGGCTCCAAGCCTTTTCAGCTTCGTCCGAACCATCCATGCCATGAGCCTCGGCTTTGTTTCACCCGGCGACCGATTGGCGCGTCAATGCGGCCCAAGAGAGGTCGGAAATCGGAGGTTGCGGCACCGTGCCCGTGAGTGCAGACTTGGGAGGGAAGCAGTTACGCCCATTTATTTATTTATTATTATATTTTTGGGGGGATTTATGGCCCCTTTTTGCAAGTGCACGGGGCCGCCTGAGTTTGCGCAGGTTGGCCCCGGCAAGTGCAAGATGGGCTGCAGCCTTGCCGCGGCCAGAGGCCGGGCGAGAGGCAACGAAGCGGTTCTAAACCCAGCTGTTCAGTGGCAGCCGTGCTTCCTTTTTGCTTTGTGCCTAGTCAACCCCGAAGGGTTTCACTGGGCAACTGAAAAATGACCACACCCTGGACCTCTTGTCACTTCAGGAATTTCCACAGGCCCATGCTTCTTCTGTGTCCATTCAACGTTGCCCGAGAAATTTAGACGTTGCTTACAGACTGCGACCTAAACATTCTGAAGGGTTTCCGAACTGGCGGCCCCTGTCGAAAGGGTGCGTCTCCAATGTGGTGTCCCTTGAGTTCCCTTCACAGGAGCAATCCAACAACGGTATGGGCAGGAGGGGTTTGAAAACTAAGGAGGGCTAGCACTTAGTACTGTCCTCTTAAGCCCTGGTGTTTACCTCAGACTTCATGACTGGCGGAGCACCTCTTGTAAACACCCTCGGTCCGCTTCCATGACTGGATTTGCCTCCAGAAGACGCAAGGTCGCGATTCCTCCGGACTGGCGCTGGACACCTGCTGTCGGGGCCCATGTCGCGCCACGCAGGGCTCGCAGCAAAACGCCCTTGGCGCGACCCAAAAATCCCAACTGCCCCCCCGCAAGGCAGAGACTCGAGCAAAAAGGGCCGTTGAACCAGAGGGCGCTTTCGCTCGAATGCTGGCCTCCAAGAGGCTTTGAGGTTTGTTTGGGGCGGGAGTGCGATGTGATAAGGTTTGTGGGCAAAAGGGGGCTGGGGCCCTGTCCAAAGCGAAAGAAGGGGGTGGTTCAGTTCGGGGTCCACGGGCGCATTTTGCATTTTTTGCAAAGAATGCCAGTTCGGGCTGGATTGGCTTGCCACAAACTGCCGTCACACGTTGCCCGCACGCATTCGTTTCTGTCTGGGCCGGTTTGCCACCACCCGCTGTTGCATCTTTCACGGACACGTGCTTTTTCGCCGTAGATTTGCCATTTCGACACTGGTTCACAGGCGTTGGGGAGAGGTACCTACGAGTTCTTTGAAGCGCGCTTGCAAACGATGCCAACTAATTATCGGTCCGCCCTCTCCCTGGTAAAAAGAATCCGATTTGTGGCACCACCATGCTCATGGACTCCTGGCCTGAGTTCCGGTTGGCCATGTGGTTAAATACCATACAACTGTCAAAAAGGATCAAAAAGGTTTGCTTCGGCTGATTTCTGGACATGCCCACAGACACGCAGCAAACGTTCATGATTTAATGTTTGTTTATGGGTCGACGTTCGGTAGCTCATCATGTGAATCCGGTGCTCGAACCCGAAGGAAAGGCAAGTCAACTGAGGATGCAAGGCTGAAAGTGAGTTGTTTGTGGGCCACTGTGAATCATCGACCAATGATTTGTTGCAGGTAAGTCTTTTAGGTGGATCTCCACCCCCTCACAAGGAATGCAGGGAGGGACAAGCTTCCCTCTCATGCGTACAAGGGACACGACGTAATATTTGTTATTTGGGGATGGGGGTTGCAAGTGCGTATGCTTGAAATTTGTTGGCGCCAGGTAGAGGATGTGCTCGAGGGGAAGGCTGACACCACACGGGATCTTTTGGGTGTGACATTCAGGTTGATAGTTGCCTTTGCGTGCTTTGACAAGAAATCAACGGGAAGCATCGGGAAACCAACCCATCTTAGGGCTTCTTGACTCAAAGAAACAGGCATCAAGGACGGTGTCTTACTTGCCCACGCTTCAAGTGCCTGAGTTGATTGACTTCGCGAAAAGACGAGGGACCTGCACACTCCCCGCAAACGTGGAAGCTAGCGGAAAGTCAGGGGAAGAGCTGGTCTACCGAGTGCCTTCAATCAGCTTGTTGCACGCATGCCCGCAAGTAAACTTGCAGAATGAAATCACGTTGCTCGGCTTGCAGGAACTTTGGGCCAGCTCTTCCTAACACCGCCGAAGACGCTCAAGGGATTATTCTGTTTTTTTTCAGGACTGTACTGTTTAGCTTTCAAGGGTTTGGTGAAGAATTGCATTCTGTTTCGTTGATTTAAGTGGAATTCGTAGAAGCGTTGAGGAGTTTAAGCACTCAGGGCCACACAAAATATCAGATCAACTGGATTGCAGTAGCTTCAGTGTTTTTTTCGACGCCAAACGTCCGTCGTTCTCGGGTGACAAACCCACGATGCCAACCGCCATTCCGCTTGCGACAATCCCTGGCAGAGCACGCTGCTTTTCCCACAATTTCAGGGGATGTGTTTGGTGCGGTATTTAACGCTCGAATGCAATGTCGAGTCTGCAATTTAATAGTCGCCCCACCCTGAACAGTGCCAACAGTCATTTGGGTCCTCTTTGGTTAAAAAAGGGTGTCCGGGTTGGACTTGGACTTGCTAATGTTCTTTTAGTATTGCCAGTCCTAAATTCAGCATTACCAAGATTCCCCCCCTTTATTGAATTTAGTATTACTACCGATACTTTATCCAGTATTGCCAAGACTTACGCTCAGATTCCCAAATCATAGATAAACCGCCCTTGACCCTTGAATTTACGCCCATCTCAGATAAGGCTTCGAATTAAAACGACCCTCAGATTAAGGCGGATGAGGGGCTCTTGTGCGCTACCCTACCCCCCTTATAAGGATAATAACAAAAAACGATGGGTTGGGGACCAGTTCAAAGCAAGAAGTCCTAAATCTAACTAAAGCTTTAGCGCGAAGGGCTCATATAAACGACCCTTTAGAATCAAAGAACAAAAGCTTTGATCTGGTTTTTGTGTTTTGCTTGCCCGTGTTTTAACGGAGGATGATCCCAAATGCGAGGAATAGTAATTAGATAGGAAAGCATTTAGGTGAGATTCATCCCTCTCTTTCCAATTCATCTCCCCTTCCCGCCTCGAGGATGATCCCAAATGCGAGGAATAGCAATTAGATAGGAAAGCATTTGGGTGAGATTCATCCCTCTCTTTCCAATTCATCTCCCCTTCCCGCCTCTTCCCGCCTACACTATACCACTCACAGCAAAGAGGCGGGTGAATGGGAAAGCTATTAATCAGGACTGTATTTTGTATTTTGCTTTGCTTCGGAAGCAACTTTCTACATACCTTTTGATAAGAGCGACTGCGAATGTAAAAGCGGGCGCCAAGTTACCTTTCATGTATCCGCATGTCCTGGTCATTCCTGGTCCGAAGGCTTGCATTTGTTTGCATGATTCGACTGAGTAACTTGCAGAAACACCCAATGAGTCAGCGTGCAAATCAAAGGCTGCTACTGAAGTGAGTAACCCCACATAGAATCAATCATCAACATTGGAGAGCAGGAGGTGCGGGCAATCCTGGAAAGAAAGCAAAGGCGCATAATCAATGTCGCGAGAGAGCAATGCATTGTCCACATCCATCATCACTTTGGGGTCATTATGCAGTGGCTGCGGCCATTGCCCTTGCTCATGCCCTGGAACACTTGAAGGACTCCTTGTGTCAGGATTGGGGTGTTCGGACAAGCAGTCAAGGAAAAGCACAGGCTTCTTGACAGACTTGCAAGGCCATGACGAGATGTGTGGCCAAGATATCGGGGAGATTGCCATCCCGCACTCCGGGGGGGGGGACATGCCCCACGATTGATCAGAAGAGAGGTTTTGAAGTTTAGAGCAGATTGTGGTAGCCGAAGGACTCAACTCAGAAGATATTTCAAGGGCTTTGTTTGAAAACGACCGGACTTACCGAAAGTTCCATACAAGCATGTCAGTCTTGGCAGCTGCTGGGCCCCATGCCATGTTTCATGTTTCATGCGGGAATTCAATTATGTCCAAAAAGCGGGGCGCATGGACAATGCTCTATGCTCGAGCTGAGTGAACCTAGCAGTGCATCACAAAGCGTGGTTTGGCAATGACCTTGATCGGTTTAACGTGTTGCCTGTCAAATAGTTTGAATTGGCTTGGGTAGCCCCCCATAAATATTCCCGGGCTTCGAGGATGGCTGTCACAAGAGCCACCAGAATGCGCTGTGAAGTCGCCAATGTTTCGAGATGGTCAAATTATGGATTCCTTTGGCCCCCCATTTGAGGTGAGGGCCGCGTTAGCGCCAGCTCTGCGGTTTGGCCTTCTGGTGTTTGTGCCAACTGAACACGGGTGACGTGGCTCGAGCTTTAGAGTCCATGGAGGATGCTAAGCTGCAGCGGGGCAACTGCCCTGAGCTGAGCACATGGGATCCTTTCGGTCGCCGTGGGCATTTGGCAATTGCCAGAGGAAGCCGTGTGCCACTTGTTCAGCTTAACCTGCAGTGCAAAAATGACTTGGCTCACTCCAGGGGCCCCTTCGATTTGGATGAGAAGCCTTAGAGTTTTAGTTGAAGCAGTTCTATATGAGCACGGCTCAGTTGGAGGATGCTAATGATGCAGGAAGTAGAAGCAAGCTGACAAATCCTTGGAGGCCAGGGGGCACATGTAGCAACAATGAGCATACTCAGAAGACCAAAAGGAACAAGTGAAGAAAGCAGCTTGACATACGAGATGAGAAGACCAAGTGCCAGGCACTTGTCGTAAGGCATCGACGCTTCCGAGTGCGTTGCTAGAATGCCCAGCGCCAGGGTTGAGTGACCCAACACATGCAACATAGCTGGCTTTTGCCCAAACTGGCAGTTGCAGTTGGCACCACTCTCCGTTATGGTATTTCTCAGTGATGGCATGACGTGCTATGTGACGTCTTGGCAGAACAAGGCAGCTGTTTGGGCTCATTTGGAGGTATCTTGCTTTGAGGGTACTCTTTTTGGGGCTTGCTTTGAAGGGAAACAAATGGAAAACCAGTGTTGTCTTCGATTGCTCCGATTGAAGCAAACCCACTTGGGCTTCACCACGAGTTACCTCGGCTCAAAGGTTACCACTCACCCAGGCGGCACATGCCGGCAGCGGCGCGTGCTCGGCAGGTATTTGCCTAGCCAGGAGTTTGGGATCTCCGGGCAGGTTCCCTTGACTCCCCTGCACAGTACGGAAGGAATCCCAAGACGATGGACCCCCAAAAGGAACTCCTCATGTTTTTCTGGCTTCCATGTGAATCAGCCATTCCAATTTGGTGCTTGCTGTTTGGTGACCGGGCATGTCCTCACCTGTTCACCTCCTTTTGCCTACGCACCGACCAAAGAAGGCTAGGCTTGATTTCAGTTGAACCATCCAGGAGCTGACCAGCCATTTCACTCATTTGTTTGTTTTGGTGCTAGACATAACCTTTAATGCCATGAGTCCGCCGTCCTTTCACTTTCTAGGAGCTCGAGATCTTCCGGTGCTGCGCCTGTTTGGCCGCTTCCTTGAAGACGTATCCGCCGTATCCAGGGCCCTGAGCCGGCTTGCCTGATTCCAAAAGAGACCCGCTGAATGGAAGAAACCCTTCAAAAAAGGGACTCTTCAGGGAAGAAGGGAACCTGACGAAACTCGGACTGGGGTTCTCCACATATTTTCTGAGTTGCCGATGGGAGGTCCCAGCGCAGCAATGGGCATTCTTATTGGTTTACTTGGACAGCGCTCAACGTCGCACGACTTGGATGTGATTGTATAACTAGACCACTATAAAGCCGCCCCGGAGAAGGCCGAAAAGGCCGGAAGTTGGATAGTTGGTTTTTTGTTGGGTAAAATTGACAGCCAAGAGCTTTGTAACCAGCACTGCAGAAGTTTCGACGACAGGCAGTGGCCTTTGTAGATGCGGGGTGGCTAGGTGTCGCAAGCCAGGAGAGCGTGTGAGCAGGCGTGACAAAGTTATGAAATCTGGCCGTTTGGTGTTCCTAGGATGGTCCTCACCCCTAACGAGCAGGATTCAGAACGCAAACCACTGAAGGCGCCTGGAAGACTATGTTCGTTTCAGGGACCAGTCCCTTTAAGCAAACACAGGACCATGGCCTGGGTTGCCCCTCAAGAGTGAAGGATAGCCTTCACAGAGTCACACGCTTGTCTTCCAGTAGGCCGTCCGCTCCCGCCATGCAACCTGACAGGCCTCCCTCCGTCAAGGAAAGTTATCTTCCAAAGCACATGCCCTGAGGGGCTCCACGGCCAGCGGGAGGGGTTTGAGGGGTTAGAGCCAGGAGGAGTGAGAAGGTGGGAAGGAGGCGTGGAGGGAAGGGAGTAGTCCTTCCTATTCTATGCCTTAGGACGAGCACGGGGACACGCTAGAGGTTGCAGCCGAAAAGGAAGAGCTGGAAGGCGGGGCTGTTGCGCGCCTCGTACCTCACGCCTTGTGCTGCTTTGTTTTGGTTGGTGCTGGCTGATGCGGGGGTGGGGGGGTGTTGAGAAATGAGGAGCACAGGAGTTGTGTTTCCCCAAAACAACTCGCACGAAGGCTTCATTGGGTCTCACTTGCTGACGGGAAAGCCGGGGGATGGGGTTGGTTTGGAATCCAGTGCATTTCCAGGAAATGCATTTCCCAATGTGGGGGTGCCACAAGATTGGGAATTGCTGGATGGTGCCAAAAGGGCCACTAGAAGGAAGCCAGCGCACGCCCGGCCTTGCTGGAGCATTTGTGTCTGGCTTCCTGAAGAGCAACGCACTACTAAAGGACCCATCATGTGGAGCCACCGCATAGATACTTGTTCCGGACCAGTTTTCCCAGGACCTTGGGACTGGATGGCATGTGGGAGGAGATGTGACTTCCTTTGGGGGCTGGCTCGCACGTTGGCTACTCCACTCTGAGAATCACTTGAACTGAAAATGACCAAACCAGAATTCGCATTTTGCTCTTGCTACATATTGAAAGTCATTCTTGATCCCGCTGGTTCTCTTAGAACTAGTCGCGCCAAAGTAAAGCTTGCGTTAGGGAGAAGGCACCTTGCTTCACAGCCCTCACTCAAATTGGAGGGACTTCTGCCCACTCCTCCCCCATCCACACACACACACACTGTCTTTCTCAAGAGTGCCTCACCCCCGTAGATTGTTGAAACACTTCATTCTAGGCCAGGCAGTAAGCTCCCAGTCCAGAGCGCGTTGTATGTCGCCTTTCGCCTAGGCGCCGCCAACTGGTGGGCGTGCTCCGAGCCGCCTCAGAGCTTGGAAGACGTGCCGACAGGCGCTGGAGCGCGAGCAACAGGAGCCAGCGCTTATTTCTGAGATGTGTGTGTGTGTGTGGGTGTGTTGTGTTTTGTGTGCGTGTTGTGTTGTTTTCTGCGTATTTGTGTTATTTGTGTTGCGTGTTGTGGGTGTGTGCGCGTGGGGTGTGAGCGTGTTCAAGTGTGTGCGTGTTCTGTTTGTGTGTGTGTGATGGTGTGTTTGTTTACTTGGTTTGTGTTTTGTTTGTGCGGTTGTTGCTTGTGTGTTATGTGTGTTGTGTGTTGTGTGTTGCGTGCAGTGCGTTGTGTGTGTGGAGTGTTTGTGAGCGCGGTTGTGTGTGGTACTTGTGTGTGTGTGCGTGTATGAGAGTGTGTGTGTGTGTGTTTGCCTGCGTGTTTCTGTGTGAGCGTGCGTGTGTTTGTTTGTTGTATATGTGTATATGAAATGATTAAGTATTTATGTGTGTGTGTGTGTTTGTGCGTGTGTGTTTCTGTGTGTGTGTGTTTGCAGTGTGTGTGTGTGTGTTGTGTTGTGCGTATGTGTGTGTGTGTTGTGTGTTGAGTGTGTGTCGTGCGTGTTGTGTGTGGGTGTGTGTGCGCGGTGTGCTTGTGAGCGTGTCTGTGCAATTGTGTGTGTACCTGTGTGTGTGTGTGTTTGTTTGTTTTTGTTTGTTTGTGTGTGTATGCGTGTGTGTGTGTGTGTGTTTTTGTTTGTGCGTGTGTGTGTGTGTGTGTGTGTTTTTGTTTGTGCGTGTGTGTGTGTGTGCGTGAGTGTTTGTGTGTTTGTGTGCGTGTTGTGTTTTATGGGTCGTGTGTTGTGTCTGTGTGCGTGTGTTTTGTTTGTGTAGCTTCTTGTTCTGTTTGTGTGTTGTGTGCGTGTGTATGAGTGTGTTTGTGTGCGTGTGTACTTGTGCGTGCGTGCGTGGGTGTGTGTGTGTGTGTGTGTGCGTGCGCGCGCGCGCGTGCGTGCGTGCGTGCGTGCGTGCGTGCGTGCGTGCGTGCGTGCGTGCGTGCGTGCGTGCGTGCGTGCGTGCGTGCGTGCGTGTGTGTGTGTGTGTGTGTGTGTGTGTGTGTGTGTTTCTGCGTGTGAGTGTTTGTGTGTGTGTGTTTGTGTGTGTGTTTGTGGTTGTGTTTCTGTTTGTGTGTGTGTGTTTCTGTTTTGTGTATGTGTTTGTGTCTTTGTGTGTGTGCGCGTGTGTGTCTGGTTGTGTGTGTGTTTGTGTGTTTGTGTGTTTGTGCGAGTGTGTGTGTGTGTGTGGTGTGTGTGTTTGTGATTGTGTGTTTGCGTGTGTGTGTGTGTGTGTGTTTTTGTGTGTGTGTGTGTGTTTGTTTGTTTGTTTGTTTGTTTGTTTGTTTGTTTGAAACATTTGTTTGTTTGTTTGTTTGTTTGTGTGTTTGTGTGTGTGTGTGTTTGTTTGTTTGTTTGTTTGTTCGGTTGTTTGTTTGTTTGTTTGTTTGTGTTTGTGTGTGTGTTTGTGTTTGTGTTTGTGTGTGTGTGTGTTTGCGAGTGTGTGTGTGTGTGTGGTTGGTTGGGTTGTGGGGTGCGAGAAACCAAGAATCAAAT